CATCCTCCAAGAAGGATTAGTGTCATGTTAATTCTGAGGAGCTTCACTGTCTGTACAAGCTCCTCTCACTCCAGCTGGAGAAACACTGCGATCAAATGGTATAATCACGTGACAGGCAAAGTGTCGATGTGAAATGAAAGGGACAGAAATACAGTTAAGATAGCCACTCAAGAAAAATAAGAAAATGGAATTGTTTGAGTAGTTAACATGATGGTTTAAATCTTAATAAAAGTACTTGCGACATTATTTCACCTTATCTCTACCTCCACCCCAGCTCTGCTCACTGAAGTATAATCAAATATTTACTTCCTATATACATATATATACACTTAAGTCATAATGCCTTAAATACTCAATATTGTTGTTGCTGTTGTGTACCATTGAATTGGAACCGACTCATATCTTACCCTCTGGCCACCTTTCAGAGGCAGTAAATCGCTTGGGAAAAGATTGCCCTTCTTTCTCCCATGGAGCAGCTGGTGGATTTGAACCCTGTGCCTTTGGGATTGCAGTGGAGCTTCTAGCCACTAGACTACTCAATAGACACATAATAACTATCTTGTAATACTCAATATAGAGTTAATAGGGAAACATTCAAAGAAATACATAACTTATCTAAATATCATACCAAAGTCTCATGTCAATATAATAATGAACCATGAATTCCCTTTGTGATAGAACACACATTTATAAAATGGAGAAGTGAAACAAAATAGCTTTAAACTCAGTACCAGCTTTCATTTACAGACCCAAGGCTATAATGGACATAGCTAATTTTCATGGTTGATCCATAATCATGGTCATTGGGAAGTTAAATGACAGAAGAGAACAGCTTTAAATAGGAAGTGGCACAATTAATCACAACTGTCACACGTATGCACTTGCTGACTATCAACCTTGACCAGAACATTTAATTCAAATCCCATTTAGAAGTATTCACAGTCAAAGGAGAGGCCAAGAACCATTTTCTAGTTCAGAAAGCAACCCACAACCCATGTGCCAAAGATTGGCACTGAAGATCCGTCCTGCTTACATAAACAGACTGCTCCGGTCCTTTGCTTCTCTTTCCCACTCATTGTGCAGAATGTGCATACGAAAAGGCAAAGAATGAAACTTTGGCATCTGACCATTTAAAGATGAATAGTTCCTGTCCTTTGACATATAATATTGTAAAAAATATTCTAGCCATTTAGAACTGCATTTATTTGTACCCTTTTTTTTGGTGAGGATAGCTTTTTCTCTTTAAATAATCTTTAAAACATTCTAAAATACTCTATGCAAAATGTTTAGTAATACTAGATCTCATTGCTACATTTAAAATATTGCATGAAGATAAGCATTATGTATGAAGCATAAGGAGCCTTGGTAGCACAATGGTTATGCTCTTAACTGCTAACTAGAATATTAGTTGTTTGAACTCACTAGCTGCTCTGTGAACGAAAGACATGGCAGTCTGTTTCCATAAAGATTAATATTTGCAAACACTATCCTGATCTATATGAATTGAAATCAACTTAATAGCAATGGGTAGGTGGTTGGGAGGTGCCATCAAATCAGCTGTGACTCGTATGAACAGAAGATCAAAACCTTGCCCAAACCTGTTCTATTCTCAAGATCTCTGATATGCTCGAGCCCACTGTAGACATATCTCACTGGGAAGTAGTATAAAGGATCTTCATTTCTTATGCTGACGCTCTCCTTTGCCAAGCACCATCAGTCTTCCTGACAATGTATCCAAAATATATGAGACCAAGTTTCACCATGCTTGTTTCCAAGGATCATTGTGGCTGCACTTCTCCAGGACAGATGTTTGCTCTTTTGGCTGTCCACAGGATCTTCAACACTCTTCACCAAAATCACAAGTCAAAGGCATTTATTGCTTTTTTCTCTTCTGTATTCATTGCTCAACTTTCACATATATATGAACCAACTGCAAACATATGGCTTAGGCAAGACTCCCCCTAGTCTTTAACCTGACATCCTTATTCTTCAGCAGTTACAGAGGTTCTTGACAGCAGATTTGTCCAAAGCAAGACTCTAAGTTTTTTAACTGGGTCTTGAGTATGGATTCAAGTGAAATGAAATTTTTGAAAATTTAAATCTTTGCTTCATCTATCGTGGTGTTGCCTATTGGTCTAGTTGTGAAGACTTTGTTTTCTTGATGTTGAGGTATAATTCATGTTGAAGGTTACAGTATTTGATATTCTCCATAAAGTACTTCAAGTCTTCTTCATTTTGCAAGGGAAGTTATGCAATCTGCATAATGAAGGTTGTTGATGACTCTTCCTCCAATCCTGATGCCATATTCTGCTTCATATAGACTAGTGCTTTGAATAATTTTATCAGCATAAAGATTGAATAGATAGAAAAATTTATACCCCTAATACCCACCTTTTCTGATTTTAAACCATAAAATGTTTCTTTATTTTGTTTGAACAACTGTCTCTTGGTCTCTGTACAGCACAATTAAGTGTTCTGGGATTCTCATTTAACTCAATACTATCTCTAATTTATTATAAACATTTGTCAGATTGCTGTTCTATGATGACTTGTGTTGCTGTGATGGTGAAAGCATTTCAAACGGTAGCAGACTTACCCATGGTGGACAGGTTTCAGCATATCTTACAGAGTAAGAAGGAGGACTGGCCATAACTTCTGTAATAATAGGTCCATGAAAATAATTTGAAAAGCACTAGAACATCGCTTCCCCTTCATAGGGTTTCCAAGATTGGAAATAGTATGAGAAGAGATTGCCCATCTTTCTCTCCAGGATCTGCTAGTGGTTTCAAAATGCCAGAGAAGTGTGGCTTTTGGGTTAGCCGTGCAATTCACTATGGGCTACACCACCAGAACTCTCTCTAAAATAATATAGTTAATATAGTATGTTGTTGTTGTTGTTAAGTGCCATCTAGTCACCTTCAATTCACAGAGTCACAGAGTCCCTATATACAACAGCACTGAAGCCGGCCTCTGTCCTGAGCCAGTCTCACTGATTCCAACACACCAATTCCCATGGCCCCAATTACAGTATCAATCCATCTCACCCGGGGTCTTCTTCTCCTGAGCTGTTCCTCCACCCTTCCAAGCATAATATCCTTCACCAAGGGCCAGTCCCTTCTGGGCATATGTCCAAAGCATGTGAGACGGAGCTTCAAAACCCTAGCCTCCAAGAAGAAACTTGGCTTCACCCTCTCCAAAACACAATGATTTGTTTTCTTAGCAGTCCATGGTATGATCAAGACTCTTTTCCAGCACCACAACTCAAAGGCATCAATTCTTCTTCTGTTATTCTTAGTCATTGTCCAGCTCTTTGATGCATAGCAAGTAATTATGAAGACCATGGCCTGAATCAGGCAGACACACCTTTGTCAAAGAATGACATCATTGCTTCTCGGTACTCTGGAAAAGTCCCTGACAGCAGATTTTCTCAGGGCAATTCATCTTTTGATTTCCTGACTGTTGGTGCCAAAAGTGTTGACTGTGGAGATGAGCAAGCTGTAATTGTTAACAACCTCAGTCTCTTCTCTATCATGGTGCTGCCAACTGGTCAAGTGGTGACAATCTTTATCTTCTTGATCATCTCAAGCCCAATGATGAAAAATGTACATATTCTCACACACACACAAGCATAAGTAATTACAGTGAAGATAAACTTCAACATTTTGGAACAAAGGAAGCAATTGCCTTGAATCCTGAATAGTTTCACTTAATTACTATTAGATTGTTGTCATACTAAGTTGCCCATTCTGACTTTGAACAACAAATTCAAACCTTACTCTATACTGCACCATCCTCACCATCTCTGATATTCTTCGGACATTGTTATAGTCATTGTGCCAATCCATTGCATTGGGAGTCTTCCTCTATTTTTCTGATCCTCCATCTTTCTAAGAACTGGTCCCTCCTGATAACATGCCCAAAATAAGTGAGACAAAGTTTCACCATCCTTGCCTCTCAGGAAAGCCCTGATTGCCCTTCAAAGAACAAAGACTTACCTGTTCTTTTAGTAGTCCATGGGATATTCAGCACTCTTCAACACCACAATTTAAAGACATTGAATTTTTGGTCATCCTTATTCATTGCGTAACTTTCAGATGCATAGGAATCAAGTGAAAATACTATGATATTGCTACAAAGTGAAATTTCCTTAAACCAGAGTATTAGTGTGAAAGCATTACCTACCAGGTCAAAAGACAATACCCAAGTAATTTGGAAATTGGATATAATTTGACCAATAGCATATTTGACTTTATAATAAATTAACACTGGATAGATTTTGCTGTTGTTGTTGTTATTGTTGTTATGCTCCATCAAGTCACCTGTGACCCATAGCGACCCTATGTACAGCAGCTCTGAAGCCTGCTTTGTCCTGAACCAGTCTCACTGACTCTTACACCAGCTCCCGTTGCCCCAGTTATTGTATCAATCCATCTCATCTGGGGTCTTCCTCTCCTGCACTGTCCCTCTACCCTTACAAATATGATGTCCTTCTCCAAGGATCAGATAGATTTTGGTTATCAAATTAATATAATATCTTTCAATTATATGTATTATCACAGTAAACTTAAAATTAGCAGATAAGACAGACTATCTGGTTATAGCAAACATTTTTCATTTCTTCAGTACATATTTATTGAACAATTTCTATGTGCCAGGCTTTGTTCTAGATTCTAGAAATATAAGGCTGAATGTGACAATCATGGTTCTGGAAAATTAATACCATGATTAGGATTACCTTTAGAACCCAGTCCTTGAGGCACTTAAACTGTATTATATATATTTGAGGAGTTTGACTTTCAGCATATTGACAATCTTTAGGTTGTTTATCGTTTTCCTGCTAATTACAGAATTAAGTGAATTTTGGCAAAGAAGTCAGATGAGCTTTGTTGCTTTGTAGCTATCACTGAAGCAAATAAAGCGCTACGAATTGTGGAATGATTAAATATTCACAGAAATTTACATCTCTGCAGTTGAATAACAATTACATTTGTTCCAAACAGGCAATTGGTTCCCAAACATATTAAACAAAGGCAATTTAGAAAGCTTCTTCTTCTTGCTGGCATCATTAACGTTGTTGAACGTCCTGGGATTCTGGTGTATATCGCAAAGGTAAGTAAGTGTGTGATAAAATTAAAAATATCTAAGTCCATGAAATATTAGTCTAGGAACTACCACCAAGCCAATGAGAATCCAGTATAGCATGGATAAACAAATTAACATATAAGAGAAATTTTAAAAATTATTTAAAGAAAAATCTGCTATTTTGAACGTACTTTTCCACAGATCCTCCTAATAAGTTTTTTATTAAAAAGTAAAGCATATTTTAAAACAAACTTTCTTCTCTAAATTATTGCCACTTTAAAATTAGAAATATCCACATTGATAATAAGAGTAAGTCATTATCATTAAAAGAAAATATCATTAAACAAATAGCTAAGAATTTAATGATGCTTAAGATTTGGATCTCATTTAGGCCTTTAAATACACAGTTGTCATTTCAAGGTCAAAAAGAAACTGTGCAAAATCCCTTAGCTAGTCACCTGAGACCATTAAGGGGCTTAATGTGTATCTTCTACCATCAATCAATCGCCAGCCCATCTCTCTTTTACTAATGGTTTCTTGGACCGCTGTGTACCTGTGAGTAAACTGTCTAACCTCTCTGAGCCTCTGCTTTCTAATATGTAAAATAAATACTGCAATGTTACCCTTCTGTAAATTTTTTGATATGATAAAATTTTTGCTAAAGACCAAGCACAATGTCTACCTCATTGTAGAATTAGACAGATTTTTTTTAATAGGTCAGTTCTGATTCAATGGCACATGACACCCTGTATCTATTTAGGAGTTCTAATGGGGAAGTGTTTAGGAACTGTACTGCTAGACAATGCTATCCTGCTCTTCAAGTCCAGCAGCTCTTCTAAGAAGCATATTCCTTCCATAAAAATTTACAGTCTCAGAAATTCGATGGAGGGAAGTTATAAATAAGAACCAATCCAATGGCAGTGGGTTTGGTTTTGTTTGCATTTATTTGTCCATTTAGTCATGTTATCCAACACATAGTTACTTCTCTCTTGTCTGAATCATTCTTGCTTTTATCTAACACATTTCTTTTGGAACATCAACCATATGTTAGTTACCATAGGGTACTGGAAAAAAGACAGTAAATGATTCATGCCACCTATGCTCTTCCTGTGAGAAACCCTGGAAGTTTAGTAGGTTAAGGGTTGTGTTTCTAACTGAAAGGTTGGCAGTTCAAGCCCACTAGCCACTCGTCCAGAGAAAAATAAGGAAGTCTCCTGTCATGAAGATTTATAGCTTCAGAAACTGATGGAAAGTTACCAGGATTCAAAATTGACTCAACAGCAATGAGTCCTAGTGGACTCACTCATAGTGGAAATTATGCAGTTCTGTAAGACAGTGGAACCTAAATAACCACTAAGCAAGGCAGAACATTAGTGAGAAAATGAAAACTTTTCATTCCCTGAATTTATTTACATTTCTTACCTTTCAAAATGAATAAGGTACCAAATCCATTCTCTATAATATATAACTTCCTTCACACTGTTCTTTACATTCTTAAATGGAAAACCAAATTAGGAAAGGAGACAATCTTACAGAAAGACCTAAAGGAATGTCCCTAGAGTCTCCAAAAACAGAAAGGACAGTGAGAAGTGAAGCTGAAAGAACTTCCTTTTATTCCATCTATTGCCTACCTCTCATAAAACTCGACTCCCTCTCAGCTTCTTCTTTTGCTCCCATCATAAGATTTGACCCTTGCCATCCATGCAGTGTTTTAAAAGGTGATTTCCAGAGTCAATCCAGCTGAATCATGCTTCACAGTTTATCTACTGTTCAAATGACAGCTTGATAATTGGATAAGGTGTTCACGCATATTAAGCCTCCGTTTCTACAATTTTTAAATGGAAATAAAAACAAAAATAATGACCACTTCGTAAGTTGTTGTGAAAATAAATAGATGCTCAATTTTTTTTAACAACAACAACAATAATAATAATGGTCTTTTACTTTGCTTAAGAACAGAGACTTATTTTTTGTCAATGCCTCAGTGGTGCTTGAACTCCCTTCATTATCATTAGTTCTTGACCGTATGCCACTTACTGGAATGTTTTATGTTGTTTACCATTGTGTCAGAACCAATCCATAGCTGACTCTCCAGCAAGTTTTCAGAGGCAGTAATTGCACGGGAGGAGATTGCCCATCCTTCTCCCAGGATGTAGCTGGCAGATTCGATTCGAGCTGCAGGCCTTAAGGATTACAGTGCAGATTCTTACCACACTCCTTTTTGGTGCAGTGACTTTGTGTACTCCTTCTATCTTCTTTTGATGTGTCCTGCATCTTTCAAGATTTTGCCCATAGAATCTTTCATTATTGCAACTTGAGGCTTGAATTTGTCCTTCAGTTCTTTCAGCTTGAGAAATTCCAAGTGTTCTTTCCTTTTAGTTCTCTAACACTTCTAACTAAGGCCAGAGGGATTGATGGAATGCAAACTGATATAGCTAAACAAACAAATGTAGCCCTGGACGTGCTTACTAGTCTATGCCAAGGAATTTAGAAGCAAGTGTTTGATCAACTGACTGGAAGAGATCCATTCTGTATTTTTTTTCCCATTACCAAGATGTTCCAATATTGTTGTTGTTAGGTGCCTTTGAGTCATGTACAACTCATGTTGTCATTGGTTTTGTGTATGATTGAGTCAGAACCAATCCTCTGACTCAATAGTACACAACAACAAAAATTGTTTCTAGAATGTCTATGAGTGGTAGTAACAGGAAGTCATCCAAAAACAAGACAGCATAATACTGCAACTGTTAATCATTTCACTACTCACCAAATGGTTAACATTGGAACCTATCCAAAAGATTCTATAGGAGAAAGACTTGGAAATATATTCCCATGAAGATTACAGCACCACAACAAGATAAAGGGAAATAATCCAATTGAAAAATGGGCACAATGTAGTTCTTGATGGAGTCAGGGATAAATGTAGAAGAGAACCCAGGATCACAGAAGTAACCAGACTTATAGGTCTTATAGAGACTAGTGTCTTTAATCCTCCTTAGATCCTGGAAGTGAACTCACCCTGTGGGGCACAACTTGTAGCCAAACAATAGATAGATCCACAAGGTGAGCAATAACACTAGGAAATTCTTAGCCCATAGAAAAATCAACCATGCAGGACCAGAAGGACCATTGAGTTGGATACACCCTGACTGTGTATTGGGTAAGAATTGGGCTGCTAACCAAAAGGTTAGCTCTATGTCAGTTCGTCTTGTTGTGGGTCTTCTCTTTCACTGGCCAGCAAGACAAGTCTACAGCAATTGATATACCAAATCATGTTTTTTGCTGCTGCAAAAATTATGCCTCTTTTTTAAACAGAAATTTGGAATCTAAAAAACTAAACCAGGAACTATGGTGAGTTATTGTTCCTACATCTATCATCATCTACTTTCATCCTGAGACACCTATGAGTCTATCTAATTTTAGAATAGGCATGGTGGAAAGAACGGTGATACTTCTGTTTATGTTCATCTTAACTTTAGTAAAAATACCTTTTCTGATCTCTCGTTAGATGTTTAGTGTTATAATGTGGTTATTTAATCTAATCATTCTGCAACTTAAATTATAGCTATAATAATTTATATCATTATTTGGAATAACAACCATATTATTGGATGTTTCAACAGTATACCAAAAGAAGAAAAAGAATAAAACCTCAACTATCATACTACTTCACAATTTGTTCTCTTTAATAGCTTAATGATAATTGTAGTATTTTGTAATTGCCAGCTATATAAACCCAATAGCTTATTGTTATTGCTGTTAAGTGTTACTGAGTCAATTCTCACCTCATAACGACGGCATGGCATAGTGTAGAATTGCCTCATAGGATTCTCTTGGCTATAATCTTTATGGTAGCAGATTGCCAGGTCTTTCTCTCATGGAGCCATTGGGTTGTCTCAAACCACCAACCTTTTGATTGGCTGCCAGCCACTTAACTTTTCTATGACCAGGGCTGAATGGAATACCAATCTGCTATGTTAACACTTGCTCAAGTCGTAATAAAATTTTAATAATAAAAAAAAGATTACGACCTGCAGAAACCATGCGGCAGTGCTACTCTGTCACATGTGGTTGCTATGAGTCAAAACTTAACTCAGCAACACCTAACAATAATAAGAACAGCTGTATTTTGTGCTTTTTCTTATTTCCTTTTACTCTTTCCCTAAAGGCATGGGAAAGATGCTCAGTGTTACAGGTTTACTTCAGGTAGATGTAGCATTGTAATTTGCTAGCTTATGAATTTCCTCATTCAGTCATTCAACATGCATGTTAAGGACTGTTGAAGCAATAGAGAAATAAAGTTGAGCAAAAATAAGTTCTTGTCTATATGTACCTGTTGAGTTTTGTTCCCCAAAGGGAAACTCCTTCAAGGTTCATATTCAAAGAGAGAGTGGAAAATGGACCCAGAGACAGACTTAAAGTCATCAGTTTTAGTTTATTGGCACAGAAAACTTACTGAGGCGGCAGAGAGCAGGTGAGAGCAGCTGCAAGGATCCAGTGGCAGCTGACTGGGAATTTTCCACTAAAGGTGCTTAGAAGCAGCTATTTCTTGCCCTTACACAATCAATCTTCAATATGTAGTAAACTTAAGAATTGCATTGTTGTTGTGAGCTGTCAAGGTGGAACCAACCCATAGCTGACCCTCCAGGGGGTGTTCAGAGGCAATGAATCACATGGGAGGAGATTGCCTGTCCTTCTCCAGCAGAGCAGCTAGTGATTCGAACTGCATACCGTTAGGATTGCAGCATAGCTTCTTGCCACTACGCCACCATTGCTGTTGTTGTTTTTGTTGTTGTTGTTAGGTGTTGTTGAGTCAAGTACAATTCATAGCAACCCTATGAACAAAAGATCTGAACCCTGTTCTATCTTGCACCATCCTCACACTTCCTGATACACAAAAGCCCATTGTAGCAGTCACCATGACAATTTACCTGGTTGAGGGTCTTTCTCTCCTTTGCTGACCCTCAACCCTTCTCAGCATCATGTCCTTCTCCAAGAAAAAACCCCTCTTAGCAACATGTTCAAAGCCTATGAGTTAAAGCCTGATCATTCTTGCCTCCAAAGAGCACTCCGGCTGCACCCTCTCCAAGACATATCTGCTCATTCTCTTTGCTATCCACGGGATGTTCAGACCTCTTCTCCAACACCACAGCTCAAAGACATCAGTTATTTTTTTTGTCATCCTTATTCATTGTCCAGCTAGGCCTCCATATGCTCATGGAAAATGCTAACAATACACAATGCTTAGTTTAAGGGGAAATCCATCACCTACTTGAACTATACTTAATGCTGCAAGCATGGCTAAAACACCAAGGGAAGAATTAGTTTGTACTCATTCTTGCAAGAAACTAGATAAGCAAGTCTAATAAGAACTTAACTAGCTTAGTGGAAGTATAGCCATCTGGGGATGTTTATAGGATTTACCAGTCAGGACCTAACATTTAGTACTAAAATTTATGTATTTAAATATGTTCTTTAATTGTCAAACAAATGACGTATAAATAAATGAAGGATGGTAGTAGGGATGCAAACAAGGACTAAAAAGGTACAAAGCGTGAGATATTGGAGAAGCCAAAGTTGAGAAATGACTAATGAGGCAGGGTTTCTTTAACAATAAATTCTTTAACAATAAATCTGAGTCATATCAAATAAATCCCATTTTTTATTTTCTGTTTAACTGAAGGAAAAAATAGTAGTGAAAGGATAAAGCAATGCAGGGAGGCAACTCAAATAAATAAATTAAGCTCTTGCTTCTCAACTACAACAAAGAAGAGATGGGGGAGAGGGACAGCGGGACTCTGGGGACTGCAGCAGTAGTGCAGACACTGGAAGTCAACGAACCTCCCCATGCACAACCAACCCCCAAAACGGCATCAAGAAACCCCAGTCATGGATAGACATAGTTCAATGGTGACTGATTTTATAAAACCCAAAGTAAAGGGAATGATTGTAAGAAACACAAGGTGAACAAAGGAAAGCGTAAAACGCTGTATATACAAATTTTGTAGGCAAACCAATATAATATAAAATTTTTTTAAAAAAGAAACCCTGATCACAATAATGTTAGTCTCTTAAAGGAATAGACCTGACATTCCTGAGGAATATGCACTTTGCCAAGAAGCACAACAAGGGCCTGAAGAAGATGAAGGCCAACAAAGCCAAGGCCGTGGATGAATGAACCAAGGCTGTCAAGGGTCTCATCAAACCCAAAAAGGTCAAGCCCAGGATCCAAAGGGGTGTGAAGCAGAAGCTCAGCTGACTCTCTTGCATCACCCATACCATGCTTGGGAAGCATGCTCAGGCCTGTATTGCCAAAGGGTTCAGGCTTTGCCTGCCAAAATCCAAAGCCAAGGCTGAAAGTAAGTTAGCCTTCCTTCAGCAGCTTCTACTAAGTCCTCAACACAGGTACCGGCTAAGCACTCAACCCAGGCTCCTGCTGTAGGTCAGTCTCTGAAATGTACAGGCCCCCACACAGATGCCAGAATCTAATTCTCTGTCTGAGGAAAGAGGGCTGTTGTGATCCCCCCTTGGCTGCCATCTGCACATGGGGCTGGTGTTCTCCTGTGCTGTTTGGCAGAAAGAAAGGGCATTACCACATGTTGGACACACTTATGTCTCAGACAGGATGCTGGACACACACAAATAACCTCATTCAATCCCCTTCCCCTCTCATTACATAAATTTTACCAATCTATGAATGAGAATACTAAAATATAAAGTTAGTTAAATAGACCAAGTTTATACAAAAAGGATCCAAACTTATTTGTTTTGTATACTCTGTTACTTTAAACTCCATAGTGGAACCCTCTATCTGCTCTTTAATAATTTCTTAACATTAGCAGATTGGATGTAAAAGCAAGAGTAAGTGTCACATATCACAAGGAAGAAAAATCTAGAAAGTTGGCCTCTAGAACTTAAGCAGCATTTAGTGCAATGGTATACATTACCTTGGCTATTTATTGGACATTGGAATTAGATGGGTCAAACTACACCTGTTAGGCAGGAAAGAGTATGGAACCTAAAACAGTAAGTGAATATCTGTAAATTATTTACAGATCATCATTACCAAAGACTAATAAATAACAAGTGTGTAAAGAAACCGATGAAAGTACAGTGTTCCAGTGACAGTATTATTGAAACTTGTTATTAAGAGCTCTGGTAAACTCATGGTACTAAGCTATGCTGCAGTCCTAAAGACATTTGGTTCAAATCCACCAGCTGCTTTGTGGAAGAAGGATGGACAATCTCCTGAGCAAATTGCTGTCTCTGAAACCTGCTGAAAGGTTAACTATGGGTCGATTCTGACTCAGTGACACATAACAACATCATCAAATGGTGTTTGATTGCAACACACAATCAGCTGCAATACAATTTTCACCAAATCCAAAGGTTTGTTTGCTCAGAACCAAATAATGGCTAATCTATAGGACAATCCCAACTTATTCCAATCCCCAGTATTTTGGTTCATTTTGAAACAGTTTCCCTATGCTTTGCAGTAGGTCTGGGGTATCACCTGAGAGGCACCCCCTCCCCCAACTACAAAGTTTTTGTTAGCATGATGCAATCCCAGTGCAAGTCCTGGAATGAAAGTAATCTTGTCAGGGTCAAAGTCTCAGCTGAGGGTTCCTGTCTAACCTTGGGTTTCAGCCCAGATTTAGCTACACTTACAGCCAAGACAGAAGTTCCCTGCCTCTGTCTCTGTTCAAAACCAAAAAGAGCCAAATCCACTGCAGTCAAGATTATAGAGACTCAGTGACCCTTGATCAGGTTTCCAAGACCATGACTCTTTAGAGAAGATTATGATCTTTCTCCCTGGAAGTGGCTGGTGGAATTTACACCACTTATCTTTTGGTTAGCAGTTGGACTTATTACATACTATGCCACCGGGGATCCTTCTCTGTTTTGGTGTCTTAGTCAATTAGATCTGAAAATAGTGTAATGATGGGATATCATACCCAACACTCCAAACACGGTTTAGGAAACAAAACAGGAGTGGCAGAGGTAGGCAGATGAAATATATTTTCATTGCTGAAAATTATTGGAGAAAATATGTCTGTAATAACTAACGTATTCCACATTAAACTCTTCAGTCCATTGTTGTTGAGTCAGTTCCAACTCATACTTGACCCTCCCTCCATCTGGTTTCTGATGCTATAAACACAAGGGAAGAGATTGACAACACTTCTCCCATCGCAGCTCTGGTGGAATTGAACCAGCAGAGGCACGGCCTTTTAGGTTAGCAGTGCAGCTTCTTACAGACTGTACCACCAGAGTTCCCTATACAATATCATTGTTATTGTTTTTGTTGTTGAGCACTGTAGAGTTGGGACAGACCCACAGTTGACCCTCCGTCAGGGTTTCAGAGGCAGTTAATCACACAGAAGGAGATTGACCCTTCTTCTCCCCCGATGCAGCTGGTGGCCTCAAACCATTTGTCTTCAAGATTGTAGCACAGCAGCTTCTTGTCACTAGGCCACCAGAGTTCGCTTATCTAATATTAGACACTAAAATAACGAGTAACTTCAGGTGTTTTTGGTGAAGAAGTGGGGAGTTTGTTTTTATATAATATCACTGTTCCTCCAGTGGTGTTACAACACACAAAGTTGATATCATTGTACACATTTTGTTTGAGACCTCAGCAAACTTTTGTGCATTACTTGGAGCAAGTATTGAAACAGACAAAAATCAGGGATGAATGACTAGTTATTCAGGCAGTATTCAATGTCGCTCACCGTTTGTTTTAGCAATATATTGAAAAGGAAAATAAAGTAAAATTGGTTTTTGAAGTACTCACAAATAAAAAATAAATGGCTGACCCCACAGGCTTATGTGTGTGTCTGACAAAATTGAACTTAGAGTTCATGATTTTCCTTTAATCAACCAGTATTTCTTGAGCATCTGCTGAGTGAGGCACGCGTCTCATTGAGATCTAGTCAGAACAGACTTATAGCTGATCCTTCAACAGGTTTCCAGAACTGTTAATCACACTGGAGGAGATTGCCTGTCTTTGTCCTGTGGAGCCATTGGCGGATTTGAACTGCCAGAGAGACTGGGCCTGTAGACTAGCAGCCCAACTCCATGTGGACTGAGCCACTAGAGCACTGGGCTAGGCCCCAGGAATACAGTAGTGACTAAAGCTGTCAGAAGTTTCTGAAAATACTCCCAGAACTTACTTACAAAAAAGTGACTAATAATCTTTAGTGGCAACATGCCATAGAAGAGGAGAGGGGAGGTTCAAGATGCAGAAAAAGAATTCTGTTTCCAGAATTCCAGATTTGGTCAAAGATTTGTCCTTATGAACCTTAGACAAATTGTTTAACCTCTTGACCTTCAATTTCCAAGTCTATGGCGTTGAGATGATTTCATCTTTCTAAAACTGTAGTGATTATTTAGTTATGGTGAACATAACACCTAGCATGGTGCCTGGTACTTAGAACACACCCAGGTAAACTATTTCAGAGGTAAACATATTCCGTAAGTCAAGGGCACATTCTAGAAAAAATACTTATTGCTTTCTTCCACAGTGATTTTTTTTCCCCAACAAAGTCTCAGAACCAAATTTCCAAATTCCTGGTGGGATATGATGAATTCTTTTTAAATAAAATTTTTATTTTATACTGGTTTACTTACAAAGTTTGTATGCATTATTTTTCACACCAAATCTTTCCCATCTCCATGATGAACCTTTTGTGAGGGCTGGCTTTTGATAAAATCTGTAAAGTTGATAGGGTTTCAGTCTCTGTCAGCATTGAAAATCAATTCACAGCACATTATGAAAGAGCGCCATCTAAAGGTCCTTAGGAGGCATCCTCATTTGCACTAAGTTTCCTTTTGTCCTTACCCATCTTTCTCCCACTTTGTGAGCAGGGCTCTTAAATAATTATCACTGTTGTGCCAGTATCTATGGATCCATCATAAAAGGTAGACAAGCACAGGAGGGAAGCAAATGATTTATCAAGTCATCTACATCTGGCCTTAAGAAAAGCTTGCTTGCTTTCTTTTTTTTCAGATATTGTAATCTAAATCATTTTCATGCCCAGGACATCAGCGGAAGTAATCTTGAAGAAACACTTCTCCTTCAAGAGAAGTCTCTGAAATTTTATGGCAGTATACAGGAATTTTCTTCAAGTATTGATCCTTGGGAGACAGCCTTATGAAACTGTACTTGACTCTACCTGTCTTACGAGCAGAGCATTCTTTGTTTCCTTCAGTAGAAAGCTTTATGCATTTTGGTGCAAAATTCAATATATATGGGAAAGCATTATGCCCAGTATATGTCTATTTCAATTTACAAAGACCTATTTTTAACCTTTCTAGTAAACTATTGTGCTCTTTCATTTGTATGTTATGTACTCAATAAACAAATTATAAAATCTAGATGAGAATTTTCCATGACTGAAAATTATAATTTCTTATATTTACAACTTTTTATAGTGGCTTTGCCACCAAAAGGGGCGTGTGTGTTTGTGTGTGTGTGTGTGTGTTTGTATGTATAGTTGTTGGGGGTTTTTTGTTGTTGTTAAGTGCCATTGAGTTGTAGATGACTCATAATGATCCTATGAACGAAAGACCTGAACAATTGTATAACTTTCATTGTTTCTCCAAGTTCATAGATTTTCTGGAGGCAGGCTATTTTGGAAGTGGATGCCACTCCTGCTTCCAACCTCGTTTTAAGCAGGGAGTTCCACCAAACACTGTGGTAACCATTATTGCATTAGACACATCAGTGTCACAATGTTTAGCATCACAGCAACCACAAGTTACCTCTGTACAGCAAATGGACAGACCAGTGCTATACCACTTAGAAGAATGTTTGACCAAAAAACAATTAAAACCAGGTCTGAGAGCCGCTGATTAAAATAACGCACCTTTGACTTGATAGCATAACTTTCTATCCACCAGACCCACAGAACTTTCTCTATGTTGGTGTTGATATTGGTAAGTACCTATGAACGAAAGATGGGAACACTTGTATAACTTTCATCTTTTCTCCAAGTTCATAGAGCTTCCAGAGGCAAGCTATGTATATATTAGTGTTCCTTAAAAGCTCATTAAAAGCAAAATAATAGCACATTAATAAATCTTTTTATCTCTGTTTATTGAGCACATACTACACACCAAACATTGAACATTTACTATGCACTGTACGCATAATATATAGTTATGCATCACTTAATGCCTATTCAGTCAAAGGTTCTGCTGCATATACATCTGAGGTCTCAAAACTGTTTATCTTCAAAGAAAAACAGCTTTTGTTTTGTTGGGGTTTTTTCCCCTTCTAATGGTTTCAAAGTCCCCCAAATTGAGATCCTGGCTGCCATAAATAATGAGTGAAACACATGAAGGTGAGGTAGAGAACATGGCTTTGGGTACAGGTTTTGAGCTTTGTCTAGAAGACAGGCAATGGTGGTAATAATGACAGGCTACTGTCTCCCTCTCTTCAGGTGGGGCCAGGTATGCTTCAGTCTATGCTCCTTCCTCCCTCTCCACTCCCACTGCCACTGCCACCACCAATTCTGGCTATTGCCAGTAGTACCAGCTGTAGCAAGAGACAATATAGCAGCAGTTGCAATACAAGGAAAACCCAGCACAGGCTACCATAAGATTTTAATAGAGTATTAGTACTACATCTAAATCACACAACATCGTATTTCAGAGTGTGCCATGGACATTCAGTGCCATATATACCTGAGCTGCTGAGTAAATAATAAATCTGTATATGAATGTATTTTATTTGATCTTAATATTGTTGTTATGTGCCATTGAGTCACCTGTGACTCATAGTGACCCATGAACAATAGCTTTGTACTTTGCCCTATCCTGAGCCAGTCTCACTGTTTCTAATACACCTAACCCCATTACCCCAGTTACTGTGTCATTCCATCTCAATCAGTATTTTCCTCTCCTGTGTTGTCCATCCACTTTTCCAAGTATGATGTTCTTCTCCAGGGACTGGTCTATCCCGGCCATGTGCCCAAAGTAAGCGAGGCAGAGTTCAAAATTCTAGCTTCCAAGGAGAGACATAGTTTTACCCTCTCCAAGACAAACCAATTTGTTCTCTTGGTTGTCCATGGAATGTTCAACACTCTTCTCCAGCACCACAAATCAAAAGTATTAAAACTTTTCCAGTCATCCTTAGTCATTGTCGAGCTCTCTGATGCAAGTAATTGCAAAGACCATGGCCTGGATCAGACACATCTTAGTCTCCAGCCTATTATTGCTACCCTTTAGCATTCTGGAGAGGTCCCTGACAGCAGATTTTCCCAGTGCAATTCATCTTTTGATTTCCTGGTTGCTGAGCCAAAAGTGTTGATTGTAGAACTGAGCAAGTTGAAATTATTAGCAACCTCAATTTCTTCTCCATCTATCATGTCAATTGGCCCTGTGGTGAGAATCTTTGTCTTCTGGATGTTGAGTTTTAAGCCATATCGAATACTGCAGTCTTTGACTATCCAAATACAAAGTTTTAAGGAATTTTTCTGAATTTCAAAAGCAGCTTTATTCAAATTAAGTCTATTAACAAAGATAATATCTAAATATTAAAGGAAGCTGTAAAATAATGGAGACAATGACCTTCTTAAGATTAAATAGAAAAAAGATAACAAAGGAAAGTTAAAAGAGTGTTGAAAGGATAAGCAACAAGCGAAATAGGGATGCTTAAAGGGATTCCCAAAGCTAAATGGTATTTTTCCGTTTTCGCTGTTACCTATTCAAATATATGCAGTCATATTCTAAATGAGATTCTTCCTTTATAAGCAAATAAACATAAAAATGCACTTTTTAAAGATCAAAATTACTTCTTTAGCAGTATTAGTTGTTTGTTAAAGTTTTCGTATCTCCTGCATCAGATGAACCTTTCTGGACTCACTGCAGACTACCCACCACAGTGGGTTTGGTTTGGGTATCCCCTTTCCATCTTCACTGCCTCATGTGGCCAGTTAAAGTGGGTCTCATGGGTGAAAACCTGTGGTCATAGGAAGATAGCGTTAGGCTCCATAAGGAGGGTCTTGTTCCATAAGGCGACTTAAATCCTTTCTCCAGTGTGGGGTCCAGGTACTGGTGGCACTGAATAAGCTCCGAAAAGTTTCAGAACCACTGCGTTTCAGAATACTTAATGCACGATAGGAAAGGTGGGTATGTCAGCTGATTGCAACTGATTTGTAATTAAGCCCCTCTTGTGTATACATAAAATATTTTAAATTTGTAGAATAAAAGATTTATTCAACTTGATTAGGTATGATATGATTTTCTTTTTTTTTTTTAATTGCCAGAGAGCAGCTGTAAAATGCCAGGTGTTTCTCTTACTCAAACTATTTATTTTTGTTTGCTCGCTTGTTTGGAGAACAAGTGGAAAAACTATCTTTCATAAGCATAAATCCTTTCCCTTGCAACGTTTTCAAATCCTTCTTTGTTTAGCATTTATACTGTAGCAGAACAGTGAAGCTGATTCCTGATATGCCTTAAAAGCTTTCCTCACTATGTGAGGTTAAATGTCAAGTTTGCAATTTGGGTTTAATGAACACCCAAAAGATCAAGAAACCTTAAGCACCTCACACGTCAGCACAAGTGAGACTCACAATTTCTGTTAGGAAAAGTCTGCCTCATATTGTTGTGGGCTGGGTGTTTTGGTAGGGTCCTCCCCACCCCAAATTGCCTTCATCTCCTTAATTTCTACATCATAATAGAAAAGGGTGATCATTAATGTTTTCCCTCATCCTTAAAGATGAAAGGAGATCTACAGAATTATTAAGTTGACCCAAGGCAAACACCCAAAGAGCTTAGAATTCTTGCAATGGGGTTGACACTCGTGATTAGCTAAATTGCAGTGACTACACATGCTTCCATTCGGAACAGGAGGCATTCACACAGCAGTTTCTTCTCTAGTGCCTAGCAACATTATCATTGAGCACCTGGAATAGTTTAGGCATTAAGTGTAATTGGTTTTGCTTTACATAAATCTGTAGCTTTGTAAATAAGCGGAGCATTTCAGCTTCTATATAACACCAATTAACTTAAAGGGATGCGTTGTTTGCAGAAGCCTGCTGGGTTCTGTACTGTATTTCTCCGGTAATATGCTCAGTGGCAGGCAAAGTTCCGTGTCCCTGCAGTGTTCCATTTACTCCCAGTCACTTGGTGCCAAGGGTCTATACCCAGCCACTCATTTACTCCATTTTTTTAAGTAGTGAAAGATTAGAAAAATAAAATCTTCCCTAGGAAGCACCTGCCTATGATCAAATTCTGTCTGTGATGGAACCCGAGAGGAAAGGCATTGAGAATGGATCCTGGGAGCAGCAGAGCATGGGCTGGCCCCTCAGGGTCCGTCCAACTCGATAGAGATGTCTCTTTCCTCTTGTAACACTTCAAGTCATTGCAGGCAGTAAAAAAAGAATTATGCTGAGGCTTTATATACAAAATGAAGAAAACTATTATTCTTATGATATTAATTTTCAAGTGATTTTTTTTCTTTCTTTCTTGTTTGTTACTTGTTTGTTGAGTAGAGAACAGAACACAGAGATTTGCTCCCACATGTTGGCTTTTTATTTTTCCTGAGCTCTTTGGATAGTTCCTCTCTTTATCTCTGTGCTTGACTTAATCCCTTATCTCTCATATTCCCTTCAGGTAATTTTGATTTATTGTATTCATTCCACTCTGGCCAACCTCTAAGTCTCTTGGTTTCTGGAGGTGTTTTATCAACAATCAAAGAAATAGAATTTAAAACAAACAAAAAAAAAAACACACAAACACCAAAAAAACCAAAAAGAAACTCCAGCCAGCCATTCCAAACAGTTTCCTATTAATGTTCTGTGATTCACAAACTAGAGGAGAGAGAATAAACCCTCTTGAAAACTGTCAGGCCTTCTTCCTTCATGAACGTCGGTCCCAGTACCCAGAATAGTCCAGCTAAGGGCATGCACTATATCCACTGCCAGAGGAGCCAGCATACCATTGCTGATTAGAATTTTGAGTTAAGTCCTTAAATAAAATCATCATCTAAGTGATGACAGCACACAGGTGCTGCTAAAATTCAGGTCTGCTTCTAGAGAGCAGGGAAATTAACAGAACCACTAATAATAACAACTCCTATCTATGTCACCATTTACAGTTTACAAGATGCTGTCACACAAATCATCACATTTGATTAGCACCACCACGCTGG